CTCTGTGCCATTCACAAGGACGGCTGTCCGCTCTGGGAGCACTACGCGCACCCCTGTCTCAGGCCCTGCACACGTGCTGTTTTCCAGACAACGTTCATATGCTGATGTCTCAGTTCAGATGTTTCCTCCTCAGAGGAGTCTTCTCAGACTAACCACTCTTTTTAAAAAATTTTTTTTTCTTATTTTTTAAGCGAGCTCTAAGCCCAACATGGGGCTCAAACACGCAATCCCAAGGTGAGTCCCGTGCCCCACCCACTGAGCCAGCCAGGTGCCCCCACAGACTAATCACTCGCGATTTATTTCCTAGAAAAATCATAATTTATAATTACTTTAGGTATTGTATCATATTTTTGTCAGCAGACTGTGTTTTTTTAGAAGCAGTGATTTTGTGTTTTGTTTGCGGCGCCCCCGGGATTGGGACTATGCCTGGCACCCAGCAGACATTAGCTGGATGGTCTACTTCTCTAAGCATCTCTGCCGCTCTGTTCAAGGAAGTCCGTAATCCCTCCTCGATGTCATGGCCTTCTCTCTGCCTCGAAATTGTTCCTCCTCTGAGCCAATCTATGACTGTCATTCTCTCTTGGGTTTTTTTTTTTTTTTTTTTACTTAGAAATATTTAAGATTTACTTGTAAATCTAAAGCATCATGAGGCATTTAGGTATGTGGCTATGAAGAGAACTATTTCGATATATCATTTATATTTCTGGGCTGTAGATACTACCATTCCTCTTCTAGGCCTTTGTAGTCATTCCCGTCCCAATACTCTGTTAGTAACCAACATGTTATAAAGAGACTGACAATTAACAGATCAAATAGCATTTCTCTTTTTTGTTGCAATAAAGTCCTGAAGAAAAATATTACCTTGATTTTACTATTCTGTTTTGTGTTTAATAGTTTGTTCTTTCTTTTCATGTGCAAGCACTTTAAAAAATGTGTTCATTTTTGAAGTATATTGGCTTGCAACGTTAGGTTAGTTTCAGGCTCACGCCAATCCCACGTGTTACTCAGTGCTCACCACGATGAGTGCAGTCCCCATCTGTCAGCACGCTACATAATTAGGGTTCTATCGACCAAACTCCCCGTGCTGTATGGCTCATCCCCACGACTGGAAGTTCGGATCTCTCAGTCCCGTCACCTGTTCCAACCATCTCCTGACGCCCCTCCCCTCTGGCAACCACCAGTTTGTTCTCTGCATTTACGAACCTGTTCCTGGAGTTTTTGTTTTGCTTGTTAGATTCCACATGTGATATCGTATGCTACTTACTTTTCTCTGACTTATATCATCAACACAATACCCTCTAGTTCCCTGTGTTGTTGCAGGACTGTCCTTTATTATTATTTTTTTAAAGATTTTAAGTCATCTCTGCACCCAACCTGGGGCTCGAACTCTCAACGCTGAGATCAAAAGTCGCAGGTGCCACGGACTGAGCAGGCCAGACGCCCTCAGTTCCCTTTCATTATGGATCGACCTTGGCCCCGACCTCTCTAGGTTCCCTCGCCAGCCTTTTATATATGAAGTACTTTTAAGCAGAATAACTGTTTTATTCTATAATATGTTACGGGAATACAGGGTGACAGTTGATGAAGAATCTGGTTGAATAGAATTTATATTGTCATAGCTGGTTTTCACTTTATTTCTCTCACAAACCTTTCTAGTCATGAAAAAGACAAGAAAAATAATTTGCAGATTCCCAGTGTTTGCTAAAGCCCAGGAACTTATTTTTTCTCTTAAAAGAAAAAACAAAAACCCACAACAAACCAACCCAGTTTGACTCGTCTGTTGCCGTGACCTTCACATGCGGGCCAGGTCAGCACGCGGAGGGTGTCGGGTAGGCAGTGGCTGGGCCGCAGGGCCAACGCTGCTAAATGTGGCTTTTACTGTAAGACCACATACTTCCCTTTTATTCTTTGCTCTGTTCTTTTGTTTGCGTCCGTTCTCTCTCAAACGAAAGAAGCGGAGAGCAGAGCGCTGGGCTCGCCCAGCATCATCCACACACGTGGCCAGGGGAATACACAGAACAACGCTCTCCCTCACAGGAAGAGTGAGCAACTGAACTCATAAACACCGTTTCACATGCACCAGACTGGGAAGCATGACAACTTGAGAGTCGTGGTTTCTCTGTGTATCTACTGCACCTGACGCTGTTGTGGGCACTGGACCCGAAACTCCAGAGTAGAAACTTTGTCTGAAGCGTTCCCTGCTGCAACTGCAAGCGCCTAGGAGTGTGCCCAGCACGCAGCAGGCGATCCGCAGACGCTTGCTGGAGAAGGGTCCCGGTTGGTTCATGGCTGGTTCCTGGGCTGACTTGAGACGCCTGCAGGCCCCTGTCAGAGCAGGGACTTCAAAGCTGCAGTGACCAAAGTGGGTTGAGCACGGGGCTGGGATGAGGGATTTCCCCTCCCCGACCACAGCTTCCTACCACAGCTCCCACTTCCCGGTCCTTGGTGACTCAAAGACTCAACACGTCACAATTCACCCCATTGCTAACGTTTCTGGGGCCGTGTCTGATTTTTTTTCTGGGGAGCATTCCATTGTCACGTACTTCAGAAAGGTTCCCCTTGCTAGTAACTCAGATGGGTCAACTCTGTGCTTTGACGACTGTGATAATCTTCTATTTGATCTTTGGACTTTTTTCACCCCAATTCCTTACTGCCAGACTAATTGTTCCAGAATATGGCTTTCATGATGCTACCGCCCTGCTCAGAAGTCTTTAATGACTGCTATGCATCACCATTTCTTCGTTTTGTCCCCACAGCCCCCAGTGACAACGTCAGTCTGCCTCCCATGTTAGTACCCGCGAGTCCTGCACAGGACTCCTCAGCTCCAGCTCATCGGGGGTACCCGAGCCCCCCAAACCACCTGTGATTTCTACCTCTGTATTGTCTTTGCTTACGGGACCCCAGGGTCCCAAGGTCTCTGGTCTTTAGCCTAAGGCCCCTTTGAATTGTCCAAATTATAATCCCGTGAGCCTTCTTTCCTTAAGTAACATTTGGAATTCCTGGAGAATGTTCTCCAGTCCCAGGAAACCGCTGTGCTGTCACCCGTCCCCACGGCCCGTTTCTCCCTGCAGAGAAACCCTGCCCCCCCGGATGGTCGGGGGCGGGGGGCACTGCTGTCCCGCTCGACCGGGCTGTGGGTCTCGTCCCAGCCAGTGCGGCTACGCCCGGATTGGAACAGCGTGCGGAACGAACGTGGGGCTGAGCGTGAGGATGCTCTGGGGGCTTCCTCACCCACCTCTGCAGCCCTCCCCACGCCTGCAGTCACACCTCCACGGCCACCTTCTCCCAGTCACCCAGAGGACAGATATGGGGCGTCAGTCAAGCGCCAGTCACCGTGCCAGGCACGGGTGGCCCCCGGGTGAGCCACAGACACACAGGGCCTGTCTTCACGACAGACATTAAACAATTACAAATAGGTGAGGTGAGCAAATCATTCTACGTGTGCAAAACGCTGCCAAAGAAGTTCTTGGAGTACACGCACATGTCCTCTACATCCTCCAGGGCCGAGGGCACGGGAACCGATCCCCACCTCTTGTGCCGACTCTGGTCGAATCAGTAATAGTAGAACCTATGAAAAAGCGATTCTGAACTCAAGACAGTATTTTTACATTATGCAGTTTAGCTCCTGATTTTTTTCATATTTCCTCAGTAGAGAATGAAAACAGCCCAAATCCACACACTCTGAAGCCATGTGCTTGGTGCCATTCTGAGCCCAGACGATTAATGTATGTAATTTTCACAGTAACCTATGGAGGAAAGCCCTACTTTCCCCATTTTATAGACAAGGCAAGTCAGGCACGAGGGGTTATAACTAGCTCAGTCACACAGCGTGTGTGGGCAGAACTAAGAACGCAGGCGATCGGGCTGCCCAGCCCCAATCCTTTATTGCTGTGCTGTTCTACCCTCAATACCGATAATGTGCACAATCGCAGACGGGTCATTAAAATGACTATCCCACAACAATGGAGCAATCTTCCTCAAAGGGGTTTTGTGCCTCCCACCCTAAAGCAGAGGAAAGACACTGGCCACCCGCAGGATCCGTTCCCCAGCTTGGGCTCTGGACTTTGAGCCCAGGCCCGGGCCCCAGCACCCTGCCTGCCACCTCCCACTTCCCACCCCCACCACCCCCTCCAGGTGCTGACACCCCACCCGCCCCTCGCTCCTTGGTGGAGGCCAGACCAAGGCCGGACTCAGGCAGCAGCTGCGCCCCGCAGACACACTCTTACACATTATCTTCTCCGCTGACTTGCCCAGAGCTGATACTCAAAAAGAACTGTTGGTTGACCAGCTGATCAATTAGGAGGAAGTCCCCAGGGTCTGTGTGGTACGCAGCAGGGCTCGTGTGACGTTTTAGTTCCAATTTTATGTTTCTTATATGGTTTAAAAAATACCTACAGATATTAGGAACATATCTGGAAAATATTCATTCAACAAATATTTAATGTGCCGAGCACTGTATTAGAAGTGAGACAAACTGTCCTGAGCTCTATACCCCAACTGCCAACTGCTTTCCAGATAAATCCACAGGGACAAATCCCAGATTGTCATCCCTATTCTTACAACACAGAAACATTCCAAACTTGCCTCTCCTCAAAGTCTCAACAGTTTTTGCTTGCTCTTTATCCCCTTTGGGATGCATGTCAATCATTTCTTTCCTCCTCCCTTCCTCCCTCCCTCCCTCTTTCTTCCAAGATTTTATTTTTAAGAATTCTCTACCCACAACGTGGGGCTCGAGCCCAGAGCCCTGAGATCAAGAGTCTCATGCTCCACGGACTGAGGCAGCCAGACACCTCCCGTCATTTTTTCCACTCAAGATTTTAAGTCACATATTCGTTCTATGAACGTAATGAGGACATAGGAGCATGTAATGTAAGGCACCTGCTCTCTACCTGTCTGCCAACCTAATACCATCAGGACATCTCTGTGCATCTGTGGCTCCTCTCTCAGCTAGCGACAGCTGCAGTTTTAATTTACTATGTGATAAAAGAGTTTACGATTACTTTCAGAACATTACTGTTTTATTGAGGATTTTAAGTGGAACAAATGAAGCAAAGGAATTGTTATGCACTTTACAGCCCTAGAAACGTAAATCTTTATGCAATGAAGAAATGTAATGAAATGAAACTCAAATTTGAAAAGCGAACAGTTCATATTAATGATCAATAGAGTGACATTCAGTTTTCTGCCACAATTTCAACCCAGAATTAATTAGCTTCTAAAATAAAACACATGGAAAATTGAGGGCTTACTTAAATCTTAATGCAACAAATATGAACTGGATTTTTAGTTCTTTGTAACTGCGTGCAAAAATTCCAAGACTGTACTGGTGTAGATTGTGTTCGGGATGGAATCTGGTCCTCACGTTACTATTCCAGACACATTTAAAGAAAGGCATCTTGGTACTTGTCTCCTTCTGCTCCAAGTAGGTTCTCTATATTTTACTTGAATTGACTTGCAAAGTAAATGTTTACCTATAAATTGGCATTAAAATTAAAATTGGTAAATAAAACAATATCAAAATAGATAATCTGAAAGAACCTGTTAAGACATTTCCCCCACACCATAAGAGTGGTATAAAACATGAACATGACGCTTGATCGGATCCACAATGAAATAAGAAAATGTCTGTTCGTGACTCTTCGTCGAAGGGTAGCACACACCAGCGCCATCCTGAAAGAGAAAAAGCTACATTATAGATTATTCAGTCTATGATGACATTTAAGTCGTAAACAACATATTTAACTATTATATATTTTCTGTTAAAATGTCATGAAACATACATCAGGTCTTTGGCAGAAAATTGGTGATTAACTGATACTTTAAAATATCTACCGACAGCACAGTCAAGTGTACAAACCCACATAATTCCTATAGTCCAAAAGGGACTCTTGTCTTTTGAAAAAGTGTTTTCAAAGTGCTACTATTGCAAAAATTGTTAGTTTGCAATTTTCTTCTATCTTTGCTTTCTTTTAGAATGTGGCCCTTACCTATTATGAGGTAGGTTTCTCTTGCTTGTCAACAAAAAGTGCCCTAGCCCCACACGGTAGCTGATATGCAATAGATGTTCAATAATATTTGTTAAGTGATTGAATAAAGATACTTAGAAACTGCTTCAAATGTGCAAATAATCTTTGTATGACCCTAGAATTCAAGCAACATATTCTGTGATATAAAGCCATTTATGGTGTTCTTACTTGTTTGCCGTATACATTATGGCTTGGCAGACTACAGAACTGTGTCCGACTCCATCCAAGTCACAGATTCAGGTCTTAAATATGTGAGAACTATTATTAGATACGGACAACAGAAAGGAGGGGGAGAAGTTCGGGTGACTCTCCGAATAAAGCCATACCTTATCAACTTTTACTTTTAGCAAAGAACTAAATACCATCGTCTTTTCTCCTAGCTGTAACCTTGAACTGGTTGCTCACTGAGTTGTAACAGCCTTCTGAATAACAAGTGATTAAACTGATTGGTTGCGAATCCCCCTCCGCACTTACATATGCTGTGACTTTAAAGACGGAAGAAGTAATTTGTATTTTCTTGGTCTGAGGATTCTTTCGAACACTAAAATAGGGGGAAAGGGACACATTTTAAATACAGCAAGCATTGGCATAATACATTTAAAATACTGATCCCTTTTACTATTCAGGTGTTCTTGTTCATGTAGAACAGAAATAGATCGTGTCCATCTCGACTGGTTTGAAAAAGACGGTGTCTGCAGCTTCATCCAGGGACGGGGCAAGGCCACCCGGCCGAAAGGCAGAACATGGAACTGGACGGCTGGAGGCTTTGTGCTCAGATGATGAAAGTCTCCTGGGCCAGAGACAATTACTGGAAAAAGAGTAGCTGGTAAGAGTCGGGCTGGAGTGTAGACAGATTGGAGTGTAGACAGCAGGTACAAGCATGTGAACTACGGGCTTAAACCCACTCAGCACATAGGCCAGTTCGGCCCCGAGTGATCGCTGCGCTTTGGGCAACATCCACCTTCCTGGACGTCAGTTTTCTCCCATGGGACATGGGCATCACCTGAGAGCCAAGTGGGAGAAGGCCTAAGAGAGCTGTTTATTAAATTATGTTAAATTCTATCACATGACAATCGTTTCCTCTCACTCTCCCCACGGAAGATTGCCTGGGATGTGTATTGGGGGGGCGCTGGGACTTGGGGGTCGAGCCGCAGGGAGAGACTTAGACACACGGTCTTTGCGATGCTTTACAATCTGCCAGACGCCCTTGTATCGCGGACCTTGTCTGAAGATCACACACCTCAGGAAGCTTGGCTGGCGCTATTTTACCGAGTTTACAGACAACAGACCCAGAGAAGTTAAACAAGATATTTAAGACATTCCGACTACAGGTGGTATTTCTGGGAGCAGAGTCAGGTGACACAGCGTGCGGTTCCTTCCCTGCGCTCGCTAACACACGGCTCCAAGGCACTCCTCACGTGGGATACGTGGAGGTGACATTTAACGGAAGATATCCGTCTTTTTCACTTTATAGGCCCAAGTACTGCTTCTCCTTTCCTGCATGTGGAGAGTAACAGGGAGGGAGACAGGAGGAGAAGGGGGGAGCGTGTTGAGCGCGAGTGTGCGTGTGAGTGTATGTGAGCTTGGGCCCCTCTTGGTGGCCACACCTAAGTCATTTCAGGGTTCAAAGTTCTTAGGCAGTTTTTATCTTTAAAACATTCCATTCAAATGTAAACCCAGAAATCATGTAATTAAATTAATTTCTGTGTATCTCTAGGACATGGATTGAGGTCACTTTCTTTTTTTAATTAGGCTCCACACCCAGCGCAGAGCCTGACATGGGGCTTACAGTGACGACCCCGAGAGTGAGCCTGGGGCTGAGATTGAGAGTTGAACACCCAACCAACTGAGCCACCCAGGTGCCCCAGGTCATTTTATTATATTTCTCAAATGCTTAACATGTACTGAAGACTACACTTAAAATTCTGTGCTTATGCAAGGGGTGACTGTAACCACTACATATAAAACGCTTACACTGTACACACCTATATGACACCCTAATCAAAACACAAACATGCCTACAGTTATAACTGATTTGAAGTCTTGATCTGGAGGCGGTCATAGGGGTACAAACATATAAAAATTCACTATGCTTTAGATACACTAGGATTTGTTCACTTTACTGTATGTAAATTAGCCCAGTTAAAAAAATTACCAAAACCCCCTAAACAAACCCTTATAAAAGTTTGTGCTTATCAAATAAACTCAGAAGAAAATTCAGTATTTAACAATCACTCAAACATACCAACATGCACTGTAAGCATGTTACTTACAAAAAAGGAACTACCATTTGAAAGTTATTAGAAGTTGGTTCCTACTAGAAATAAACCATATTACTCCATTTTATTACCTCTGATCCTGTATTAGTCTTACTTTAAAGTAGCTCTAAGATAATTTCTTATTTTTTATAGATCAAGTAGAGTGTTGCCTGTCTGACATGTCCTAGCCAGCTAGAAGAGGAACAACGGAGCCAAGGAACTGGCTCGAGCTCTAGGCTACGCTAACAGACCCGCGTCAGACCCTGGCACTCACCCGCTCACTCCAGGTAACTGAGGCTTTCAAGTGCGAGAGCATAATTTCCGTAGAGTTCTTTTTAAAAGTGTGATTATATTAATGGTTTAGAAGTAAAATAATGAACAGTTTCTTAAAATCACCTGTGCTGATTTCTGAGGCTCGATCCCACATTGACTCTAAGCAAGTTGTATGGACCATTCCAGGTAACTCTGCTCATTTTAAGAAATAAGAATCCACTGCTTAATTAGCGTCTGAAGCCATAATCTAACCCTCTCAGCTAAAATCATAAAATTTCACATCTGGGGCAGATATGCAGTTTGGAAAACCTCTCCAAGAACTCTGACAAGAGCATGTGTTTAATATTGGAAGCAGAAAAGACAAAAGCACCATTAGTAACTACACAATTATTTCTGCATCAACATTTCTGAAATGTAACCAAACAACTGGTCATCTACTCTAATGAAATGGTTCTAAAGTATCACCATATTATTTAAAAGAACCATAATCCTTGAAAAGAAGGCATTTTCCAGAACATTTAAAGAGTGTTATTTTATAGGACTCGTAATAATGGATGAGGGAAAAAATATCTTAAGACTGTTTTTACCCTTCTGTGTGAGCCAGAGACCACTAACACCCAGCTCTGTGATGCGCATCCAGTGCCACAGACATAAGGGACAGGCTCTTCTGGAGGGGACTGGTGAGGACGCTTCTCGGCAGGGCCCGGTGAGGTGTTGTAAAGCAGCTACTGTGCGTACAGTTAGAAAGACAGCAGATGTTTTTCTAAAAACTGTGAAAACACCCAAAATTCAAGGGAAGGAACAGGAGAAAACGATATCCTTCTTGGTTAATTCACCTTGCCCAAATGACTTGTTTGGACATGTGGCTCAGGATTCTGAAAAATTACTGACAACACTTGGAGTTCCCACATCCCTCGATAAGAGCTGTATTGATCCACCCTATATCCTCACCTTAACCAAATCAGACCACATCTGACCCGAATCAACACAACTCAGGTTAGAAAGGCCACAGGCAGTGCAAGTGATAAGCAAACCAACATAGCTCTGAAGGGACTGTGATCACTTAATCCACTCAGTTGCCTTGTGTTGGCACTTAATGCCATCTTTTTTTTTTTTTAAAGATTTTATTTATTTATTTGACAGAGAGAGATAGCGAGAGAGGGAACACAAGCAGGGGGAGTGGGAGAGGGAGAGATGCGGGGCTCGATCCCAGGACCCTGGGATCATGACCTGAGCCAGAGGCAGACGCTTAATGACTGAGCCACCCAGGCGCCCCCACTTAACGCCATCTTAAGCAAATATTCATTCTAATCTTAATTTTCTACCAAAGTTGCATTGGGAAGACAATTCCACATCTCCTCATTCAGCAACGAAATTCATAAGCATGCTTAAACTCAGATCATCAAGAGAAATATTTAGTGGTTCTCAAGTAAGAGTGACTCTGTAATTGTAACTTGTGATGCATCTCCCCTTGCAGGGGACAGACTGCTCTTCTCCCCACGGGCCTAGGGGACCCCATCCCATCAAGACTTCCCTAACTGTTCACAGCCACCCTGACAATCTCATCTTCTGAACTTCTGGGGCATTTATTACAGTATCAAGATGTGCAAACATTTGCCTATACAAAATCGAACATTTGATTTCATAAAATTTTTACTTATAAAAGATTTTAAACAATTCCTTTAGGATGTTAGTTTCTTATAATCTCCTTAATGTCAAGGACTGTCTGATGCCCCTCTTGTCGTCTCTCTGGAGCCTGGCTCTGTGCACAAAATTAACACCTGCTGGTTGCCTGATAAAGTGATCCTGTGGACACAATTCCTACTCTTTCCCTAAGATGCCCTGTGCTTTGACTCCTCGTTTTACGAGTGGCCATCACCCCTGGAGCTGTATTTTTTCTTAGCACCCAAGGAGTGTAGGAGAGAGTCACGGGTGAGAATCCAGGGAAGGGGACGCTGGGGAAAGTGTCAGTTCCTCAAGGTTTAGGTTGTTTAGTTACTTCTGTTTCAAACACCTCCAGCAGAATCCCCTCCTCCACGGTACAGGGTGGTGAGGAATTCCTCAGGTTCATGTGGCCAGGGAGGCAGAGCACACTGCGGAGGCAGCGGCGTGTATGTGAGCCTGTGCGTGCGTGTGTGCCAGCCTGTGTGTGTGTGCACGCCTGCGTGTATGTGCGCTCGCCTGCGTGTGTGGGACGAGGTACACCCAGGGGATACTTTGAAGCAAGCTTCAAAGTTTTCATGAGCTGCAAATGATAAGGACAGAATATTTTGAAAGTATGTGTATGTTTTTCTGGATTCTGTTTCTAACATAGCTCTTTCCACCATCTCTGTGTATTTACACAATAATTTTTCACAAAAATCAGAGGCATTAAATTTTTTTTGTTTTTAAAACCGTATTAAAATGAGTAAGATAACTAAATCATATAGTTTGTTGTGGAGCTGTAGGGCACAGGGAGTAGAAATGAGAACTGAAGTGAGTATAAGCAACAATCAAGAGTCCAAAGAAAAGCTAATTGTTTTCCTATTAAAGTACAATTTTGTAACTAAACCCTGGGACCCTTTGCTTTCACCGTTCCTATCGCTTTAGCCTGTAAAGATGAACCAGTATCTGCATCACTGAAAACCCAACCCAGTGAAAGTATAAACAAATGATTTATAAAGTTGTTATCCCAATCTAATCTTCAAAAAAAAACAAAACAAAACAAAACAAAACCAAACCCTAGCGGAATACCTAAAACAAACTGGGATTTGGGATTAATTTGGAAAGGTAAAGATTACGCCCAGATGAAAATTCTTCCATCTCCTTAAACAAAGGTGATACTTTACTTTTAGTCCAGCAAATTCACACCCTCCAAGGGACCTTGCACACAGGCCTGGGGGAAGGCACTGTGGGGTGGGCCCATGGCCGGTCTACCGGGAAGCAGGGACGGGGGCTCCTGAGGGCCGCGCTCTGAGTGCCCCGGCCTGGGAGAGTAGGGCTGCTGTGAGAAGGGGCTGGGGCACCATGCTCACACACTCGGGGTGCTGACAGGACCACAGCAGACGCACGTGATCCCGCGTACACACTCTAGGAACCAGAGATGTCCCTGCTGTGGTCTGGCCACATTACCTCACTAGATCTTTATAGAGGAGCTTCGTGGTTTCCAGGTATGGGTGAAGCACATCTTCATACTGACAAAGGGCTCCACCGAGGCAAAGATGTTTGAAAAGACAGAACAGAAACTCTTCTCTATCAGGTTGGCTGAATACTTCATACTTTTCGGAGTCTTCCACGAGCAACATCTACAGACGATGATAAAATTCATCTTAATGTAACATGAGTTGAGGTTCTAATTTTTGTTTTCAAAAGTTTCAATTTATTTATTTACACATAATCTAGGACCTATCTTAAGGACCCGTCCTGGACAACTGGAAGGAGACGCGCTCATTTTCCCTCCAGTTTCCCACGAGCTGCTGAGGTTCAGGGAAGGAACAAACCTACACCCGAGCATTCTCTTCCTCCTCTCCGCACCTCTGTCCCACCTTCTCTCTGTAGTCCTCGTGCTACCGTGGTCTTAGCGTGCAGTCACCGGAAATCTTGTGCACAAACAAGCAGCAGTAAATACATGGAGAAAGCTCTCCATCCTTAAGGCCTACCGCCTTCACTTCAATCCAGAGGCCACCCCAGTGGTGGCGCCCTAATCCGCCCTGAGCATGTGCATGGCCTCCCTGCCCCGCTCACTCTGTCCTGGACTCCGGGCCCCTCCTTCCTACACCGGCCCCAGTCTACACCAGCTCTTGCTCTCTGGAGACCCAACCAGCTCCTTCAGAAAACAGTGGGACTGGGTCTAATGAGGGCGATTTTCTCATACCATGGGGCGTTACACACAACTAACTAGTTTGTTGATCGTGGCAGCTATGAGCAAGGGGACGAGTGTATGCTATAACATACGTGTCTTTTATCAAATTGTCTACACCCTGATCTCAAATGAATATTCATCACAAGGTCACCAGACAAGAGGCATTTAAAAAAAACAATCAACTCTGTGGTGTTGTCCCCGCATGTTCCCTGGATGCACCACCTGCCCCGTGCCCCCCCCCCCCCCGGCCCCGGGGGGGGGGGGGGGGGGAGGAATAATGTGAGTTTGCAGCTACCTAAAGATCTGGCTCAATACAAGGGTGACTAAAGCTCTCAGGAATGACGAATTAACACATTCCTTACGTGAGCACTCTCGCTACTGAACTGATTAGGCCGTGCCATGTAAAGCTTACAGGAATGCAAGTATTTTGGGAATAAAGGTGAGAACAGTCTGCGCGGCTCTGGCTCTCCGTCTCCCCACGCACACACAGCTGGGCGGCGGCCGGGACCTCAGAGAGCATGTCTGGATGGTGCATGAGTCAGACTGTGCGCGGCAGTCAGGAAGGAGGTCACTGTCAGCCTGCACCAGACACAGTCGGTGCAACACCACTCGGGCTAACGCTGGAGGGCTTTCATTCATTTTCTTCAGCCAGAGAGCAACCAGGTTAAACCCTCCCCTGTTACTGCAGAGTGGCAAAAAACCCAAGAGCAAGGCCGAGAGGCAGCACACAGGAAAACAGAGCCCACCACGTCCTGAACACAAGTGCTGCTCACGGAAATAACGAAGACAGATCTGCAGAGCAGGGAAAGCACATTGGCCTCCTGGGACGTTGGCTGCCCAGGCTCTCCGTCCCAGTGATGGCGAGCTCTCTGAGGCCAGGGCCAAGGGCCTTGAGACCAAGGGGCGCGTGTGCGGGCAGAGAGCCGTGACAGAGACACGAGTGACATCAGCAGTGCCCAAAGAAAGGGGAGCCAGACTAGACCAGAGACACTTCTTCAAGGTGAATTTCCCACCCTTGGTAAGGAAGAGTAGAAATTAGTATCAGATTCTCACTCTGTAGCACTTGCATTATCGTCTGTTATAGATTATACTTCACCAGGGAGCAACTAAATACAGTCTCTTCAGTTGTGTTTGGTTGTTCTCAATGACTTAATTTTATTTTCTTCTTCAACTGAGTTCTCCTAGGTGTTCTCCTAGCGTAGATGAATGCACACACTGGCTGGATGCCCCCTGGTCCCCGACAGACAGAACTCTGTGTGCAGAACGCTAGAATGGTGACTTCCCTAGTTCATGCCCATCTGGATTTGCAAGAAATTAGACTTTGACTTCCCTTCTCTCTTAGGGTAGAATAATGTTAGTAATTAGTAGTCATTCATATTCCTGGAACCTTACTAAGCGCCAGGCATTGAGCTACATAATTCTTACATCATCCCTACTTTACAGATGAAGAGAGAGGTCAAGTATCACAGTTATTAAGTGGCAGAGTCTAGATCTGAACCTATGTCTATTTGATACCAAAGCCCTGTGCCCCCTGTGCCTGGATGGCTCAGTCAGTTAACCTGCAGGTCATGATCCCTGCTCGGCGGGGAGCCTGCTTCTCCCTCTCCCTCTCCCTCTCATCCTCCTTCCCCTGCTTGTGTTCTCTCTCCAATAAACCAATAAAATCTTTATTAAAAAAGGCCCTAATTTTAAACCACTTTGTAAGTAGTCTTTCTTCATGATTAAAACAATGATAATAATAATTTCATTTCGTATTTTTAAAAAGTGCATTTAAATGCTTTCTCAACTCATTATCTCAACAATTTCAGAAAGAAGGTAGAACGGGCATTATTTTTTTATTTATTTAACTAAACTCTATACCCAATGTGGGGCTCAAACTCATGACCCTGAGATCAAGAGTTGCAGGCTCTTCTCACTGAGCCAGTCAGGTACCCCAAATGGGCATTTTTTAAAAGATTTATTTATGGGGTGAGGGAGAGGCAGAGGGAGAGGGAGAGAGACTCCCAAGCAGACTCTGCACTGAGTGTGGAGCCCAATGCGGGGCTTGATCTCACAACCCTGAGATCACGACCTGAGACAAAACCAAAAGTCAGATGCTTAACCAACTGAGCCACCCAGGCGCCCTGCCTACCCCACCCCCCATAGGCATTTTAATCTCTATGTTGTGCAGGTAAGATCTTGGGGCTCTAAATATTGAGTGATTTGTCTAAATTTCTTATAAATAATAACTCAGGAATTAGGTAAATAATCTATGTCTTCTGGTTCAAGTTCAATACACCTCTCACTAGGACAAAAATGAGTTAATCAAATGGCTTTTTTGATCTCAACAATGAGATAAAGATTTTTACTACAGGGATGTTTTTATATATTCATTGGATATGTTAGGAGCCCTATATTGAAGAAAAACAGCAATCAGTTGAGCAGGTGGGGCTTTCTCTAGTCCAGCAACACTGCCATTCTGGGTCAGATAACTTCGTTGTGGGGGCCGTCCCACACACTGCATTTAGCATCCGGCTGAAAACTGAAATATACGAATAACTAAGTTGAGAGTAAAAGTCCCATCCAAGAAAAAATCTACCAATGTAATGACTATTGCTGATCATTATGCATTGATAAGAGGTATTTTATGTATTTTAGGCAGGCAAAAGTTTTTGACATTAAGTATTTCCCGAAATAAAATTCTATTAGTGAAATTTAAAAAATCTGTACTTACTTTTCGTAACTCATCAGAAATAGGAAAGGGATCACAAAAAGAATCTAAGCATTTAACAATATGTCCATTGTCTCGTACAATATCTTCATCATACAACCGGTTAAAAAATGACATTGAAAGCTGTGTACAAGGGACATTTATAGCTTCAATTTTTTTCACTTCAGTTCCTGAAAAAAATTATTTTACAGAGATATAAAAATTAACTTACTATTCTCAATTATTTCCAAAATAAATATCACCATACAGAGATTCTAGTAGCCAAGTATGACATATATCTTGATATAGTTAAGACACATCAGTGTAGGGATTTTACTGTTATTTTGCAGTTTGTTTTTATTAATCATTAAAAGTCTGTAACAAAATTTCACACTCTCAGGCCTCGAAGAAGGCTATGCAAATTAGGGGATGCCTGAAAATGAGGTGCATGTTTCGTGTAGGTGTTCTTACATCAGCTGTAATCCACATGTCAGAAGTGCCTATAAAAGCATAGGAACCGGTTTGTGAAACGATTTTGGATTTCTGTTACGTTCCATTCCATGCCTTATAACTCATACTACAGAAACTTTAATGAATGTAAGGAATGGGTATTTTTAAAGTCCTGAGGATATCTTGAAAATTTTTCTCTCCGTTTAAAAATTTCTCCCTTGTGATCTCATTTACAGCGTCTATTATGAAAAATAGCTTTTCCAGGTCAAGGTAAGCTTGCAAACAGGCCCTAATCAAGTTATCACAAGCCTGGAATTAGAGAAGTCTGTAACCACGGTGTTTGGTCTACTGTCCTCTTGTAGCTGCAGTTCTAACCCCCCACACCTTCCGGCACTGCAAACCGATCTACTGAATGTGTCCTGTAGGAACGGAGTTTCCCTCAGTAGAAGCTCTTCTAAATTACAGAAAGACACAAAGATTAAAATGAGTATTTTTATTACCGCCTCAATGAATCACTCAATTTCTTATATGCGCGTGCACGCACACACACTCACACGTGCGCCGCTCATGCATACATGTGCACACACTCACACGTGTGTACGCTCACACACACGCGTGCTCACACTCGCACACATATACCTACACACGCGAGTGTGCTCTTGGCTGTAGGGAAGGGGTGGTGTTCTTCTTTGCAGGTTCTCCCTAGAACAGCACACCCAGGTGGGGGAGCCCTCGGTCTTCCCTCTCCTGACACATCTGCTTCGTCTCTGACGTGAGAAGCAGCTCGAGCTTGAGGAGTAACACTGGCAATTATTTGCACTTCCTCCTCCTGGCTGTCCACCCGGAGTCTGGCTGCTGCTCTCGTTCTGCTCCTGAGCTGGGCTTGTGTGAGGCACGATGGGTGTCTGGAGACGGGAACTGTGTCTGAGCAGGAGCAGTGTAGATCCACACAGTCTTCAGAGATGGGCTGGTGGCCACCGGAGGCCGGCTGACATTGGGCAACATGCCACGTTCATAAATCTACCCTAGCTCCCATGTGGCGAGTGGTAGGAGGGTTTGGACGGTGAGAAAAAGGTAATTAAATTCAAACCACCTAAATTGGAGGCATAGAAATGGCATTTGCTATGGACTAAATTATGTTCCTCCAAAATTAATATATTGAAGTGCTAACCCCCAAATGTAATGGTATTTTGAGATGGGGGCTTTGGGTGGGGTCAGGGCTTCATCAAATGAATTTTGAAGGGATACAATTCAGTCCAAAGCATTCTGCCTCTGCCTCCCGCCCAATTCATGTCCTTCTTACATGCAAAATGCACTTACCCTAACCCTAGCAGCCCCCAAAGTCTCACCTCATTCTAGCATCAACCCTAAAGTCTGGAGTCCAAAGTCTCACCTACGTATCACCTCAATCAGATATGGGTGAGACTGGAGGTTCAGTTCATCCCAGGGCAAAATTCCTCTCCAGCTATGAACCTGGGAAACCAGACAAGTTACATGCTTCCAAAATACAGTGGGGAGACAAGAAACAGACATTTCCATTCCAAAAAGAGGAAGCAGGAAAAAAAAAAAGGGTGATGGTCCTAAGCAAGCCTGAAACCTGGCAAAGCAAATTTCATGAGATTTTAAGCCTCAAGAATACTCCTTTGGTTCAGTGCTCTGCCTTCCCGACTCGCTGGGGACAGTGGCCCAGCCTGTAAGATGCTCCCCCTCCGTGGGTTCCTGAAACTGAGGTGCGGCCCTGAGGACCCGAGTTGCCTTTCAGTCTTTCTCTGCTCCTGAAGAACAGCCGTGTCTGCAGCCCAATGGCTCTCTGGTCTGGTCCTGTAGGATCTACGATCTGTTTCCTGTAGTTCAAACTGGCAGGGTCTTTGTGGGCATAATCCCACCTCAATCCTGGGCTTCTGCTGAAGTGGCTGGGCGAGCCTGAGTTACGTGCTTTCTCTCTATATCACATGGCTGCTCAGCCACATCTGTCTCTTCAGACGAATCTTTCTCGTTTTTTTTTTTTTTTTTTTTTTTACAATATGAAAAGCCTGAGAAGATTCCAAATCTTCAAGCTCTGGTTCCTCCTTAACAATTCCTTCTTCAATCCATCTCTTTCCTTACTTAATTATAAACACCCAGGAAGAACCTGGCGGCTCCTGCAACACTTCATTTAGAGATCTCTCAGCTAAACATACAATTTTATCCCTTGCAAATCCTACCTTCCACAAAACACCACATCATCATTCAGCCAAGGTCTCTGCCATTTTATGGACTGTCTTTCCTCCAGTTTCTGATAACAAGGTCCTCATTTCTGTATGAGACCTCACTAGAATCAAGCTTCCCATCCATATATCTGGGCTGGGATGCACTCAAAACTCTCCCCACTGATACCCATCTCATAGTTTCAAAGCCACTTCCCCCTCTCCCGGTGTGTTACAGACACACTCTGCTTCTCGGTACCACAATCTGGATTAGTCTACTTAGGCTGCTATCACAAAACACCAGAGACTGGCTGGTTTAAACAACAGACATGGATTTCTCACAGTTCTGCAGGCTGGGAAGTCCGAGACCGCGGGGCCAGCTGATCCGGTTCCTGGTGAAGGCACTCTTCCTGTTCCTGACTCGAACATGGCTGGGAGCTCTGCTCTTTCTCTTGTTCTAAGGGCACTAATGTCCTGAGGGCCCCTCACGATGTCATCTAAGCCTAATTATCTCCCAAAGGCCTCATCTCCAAACACTCTAACGTTGGGGGTTAAAGCTTCAATACAAGAATTTTGGGGGGACATAATTCAGTCCATAGCACGTGCTGTTACATAGAAATATGGTAAACTTACGTCTCCAGCATTTACAAGATACGTACTGCATTGCTAGGATCACATACGAAGTTAAGAACTTATTTTTTCCCCCTTGATACTAGCATTAAAATACACAGGGGGTTTCCTGTTTATTTTCTGTTTTTCTGACAGTGCTCGTTTCAATGCTGAAATGGCAGAGGCAGGATGGTGGAGAGATTAGGGTCTTGAAATCTCAGCTCTGTTGAGCCCGGCCAGCAGTAAAATGGTGCCAATTACTTAGCTCATCAATCTGACTCTACATTTGTGAAATCGGGATAGATAAGAACACCTCTCGGAGTTGTTTTGGGAATTAGAGGTATTGACTATAATATCCCCAGCTGAGCACAGAGGATGCGTCCGTTATGTGTCAGCAAAGGGCACGGCGTGTCCGTGCACAGAGGGCTGTGGCCACTGGTGGAGGGGACGCAGTGGCGCAACGGCAGCAGGCCAGGTGCTGGAGCCGGCAGGGACGGAGATGCCCATCGTACTCTTGAAAACGGTTCAACTGCTAAAAGAATGTCTGCTCTCTCATGTTTAAAAGCTGTTTATTTTGCTTATAAAGGCCCGAAGAGGAAAAAGCAGGAAGACAGTTGATAATTCAAAGGAAAGATGGCAAAGGAGACAGAAACAAGCTGGTGGGAGACCCTCGCAAACCACTGGGGACTTCGGGCTCAGAACCAGAGCGCTAGGTCTCTGCCGACGTGTCAGAGGACTTCTAATTGAATCTGTCAGGCACGTGTGGAATTTCAGAACCTCTGTCTGCAATGCCTTTTCTAAACATCAGAACAAAAGTCAGTATTGTTTTACTGTTTTGTGAAGTGTCTACCAATAGAGGGGAAGGCTGACTTTCTTTAATGAACCTTATTTTTGTAAAGGAACTGACTGAAGTTACTGCAAACACGTTTTATAAACATTGATATGTGCCTCTGATGATTTCCTCTTGAAGGTTTTGAACCGGTGAGTACATTTGCTCAGACAGTTTAACTTTGTAAGTACTCCTAAGATAACAGTGTACCAGCTTTTTGTTTTATAAATTTTGCAGTGGCCTTTAGCCAAAAGCAATAAAATGTGACCTACTAATTCTAACATCATGAACTGTTTGTAATCTTGTTCTTGACTAATACCTTAAGCAAAGTAATTTCTGTGTAAGACTACTAGAATTCCATGAACATGCAATGTATGCATTTACCAAAACCACCCCAACTCATTTAAAATCTTGTATTTTTCTTGAGCACAAATCCACGTTCCTAACAAGATTTTCTTCCTAAAAGGAAGAATGATGTGTTCTATTGTTAAAATACCTCAATCTAAAATTTGAAATATCATGTTCATGTTTTTGTTTTCAAAATAGCCTTTTCTATTAACTCTGGTTTACTCCTTGAGCTGAGAGTTATTTAAGACATTTGAGTGTTGTTAACTGTTCGGGTAATTTGATGATGTCGATGACACTCGATCCCTGGGCCCTGAGATCATGAGGTGAGCCCAAGTCTAGAGTTGGATACTCAACCGACTGAGCTGCCCAGGTGCCCCTGGGTGATTTTCTTTAAAATTTCTAGCTATGTTCCATGGTACTATGAAATTATGATGTATATAAGGTCCTCTCTGTGGGAATTTAAGACTCTGTTCAGTGGCTTTATGCATTACTGTAGGAATGCTCCATGGCGGCTGCCCGGACCCCGGCCGGGCAGCGGCACCCGCCCCAGCGTGGAACCCTCCGCGACACTCTCCTCTCGCCCATCAGCCCTCTGCAGTCCCCTCGCTGCCCCCTGCGTCTAGCGGAGTCCACGCAAGGGGTACGAGAAACACTTCCCCAGTGAATGAAAACAGAGGACAGGGCTCTTGGGCACCGAGACGGACAGGAGCAGGGGCTCCCAGGAGACCCTGATGTGATCCAACCAGCCAGTCAGTCCTCACAGTGTGGAGGTGACGAGTGAAAATGCCTGGGCAAAATTTTGTCACAATAATAAAACAGGCATCTGAAAAGATGACAGTAAGTTTTATTTACCTAATGTGGTCCACTGTCCAGAAGAATCTGAAAGTAACTGCAAATTGGGAATGACATTTGGGTCTTTGAAGAAAGCCTAAAATACAAATTTGAGGGGAACCAGTTAGATATTTTATTATAAACAATAGTAAGAATTAACTTTTTTTTTTAAAGATTTTATTTATCTGACAGAGAGACACAGCGAGAGAGGGAACACAAGCAGAGGGAGCAGCAGAGGGAGAAGCAGGCTTCCCGCCGAGCAGGGAGCCCGATGTGGGACTCCATCCCAGGACCCTGGGATCATGACCTGAGCTGAAGGCAGACCCTGAACAACTGAGCCACCCAGGCGCCCCAAGAATTAACTTCTAAAGTAACTATAACAGAATCTCACTTAAGTCAAATTGGGGAAGGAGGACATTTTAAGTGGGTAAAATGTCTAATAAATGTTTTATAAAGAGATGAAGTTTTGTTAACTTCAAGTTGTTACCTTCAAGTAGGAACAACACCGTATGTCCAAGTACGGATACCTTTGGGACTTAATAAATAGAAACTAATGACTTCCAGTGAAAAGCAGGAGGTTATATATTTGAAAAATCTGATTTTCTTCAATCTTCAATCTTGTTTACCCAAGTAATTGCTTTAGTTAATCGCCACTCGCACTCCCCCAACTACAGCTCAATCTAAAAGTCATCAGCAACTCAATTCCACCCAAAGGCCACATAGAAAAGTGACAGGTTTGACCTTCTAACCTCATCAGACCATGGCTGCTTCTGACTTTGGTCACACTGAGCCTCTTTCCTTTCCTTGAGTGGGATGTCCCCTCCTTTCTCACAGACTTTAAACTTGCTAATTTGTCCACCTTAAAAGAGAGTCTTTTCTAGTGTCATGCTGGAACCAAGTCAGGATAGCCTGACTGCTAAACTTTCAGGAATCTTTGTTTGCTGGTTTTTAAACTACCGACCTTGATCTAATGCTGATTTAGACGGATGAGTATTTTGACCTAAGGGCAGTAGGAAGACACTACAGAGATTTAAGCAAGGAAAGATGTGATTAGTCCTGTTTTTCACAGTTCATTCTGGCAGCAGTGTGGAGAATGAACTGGAGGGCTACGAAGAGAATGGTGCGGAGGGAAGGTACTGCTGAAATCCAGAAAGATCTGATGCTCACATGAGTCAAGAGGACAGCAAACAGGGAGGTAGAGAGGGAATGGATTCAGTGACCCTACAGGAGGAGGGGGCAAAGAGAGGAGAAGGAACCACACATGACCCTGGAAGTTTTGCATGAATGTCATTTCCAGGCAGAATGAATGTTATTTAATTAGAAAGGGAACAGTGAAGAGGACCAGGTGTGCAGGGTGAAGAGTAATAAAATCAGTAAGTATCTGTGAATGCCGACGTTACTCAAGGCAAAAATTCCTCTTTGCATGGCGTTGCCGTCCTAGTGGCGGAGGGATAAAGGTAAACAGGTATCATATACACCCAATTACAAAAAAATAACTTTTCCCTAAAACTACTCCACAGAAAAAAAAGCAAGTCGCCTTATAACCTTATAAAGTCTTTCAAGCTAAAGAGTGTTTGTGCAATTATCTTAATTTGTATAATATACATTTTGAAAAGAAACATAAGCTGGAATTAACCTCAATTGATACTGGTTTCAAATGCTTTTTGGATGTCTTCTGCAAAAATCAGTAAAAGGGAAATCTAATTCAGATTTAATAATTATTGTTGGGGGGGAGAATATCAACTCAATTTTTAGTATCGACTTATAATTGAATTTTATAGGCCACTATAAATGGAAGTAGTCTAAGTGACCTGAAGTGAATTGACCTGGAGCAATGGAAATAAGTCTTCAAAAGGCCCCTCAAATAAAGCAACATGATAGCTGTCATGTTGTTGGGGTTAATAATACACCAAAAGAATAAAAACAAAAACACCCAAAACCCCTGCCCTAATATATGCAAATGGTTTTGGATTTGTTACAGAATTTCCAGGGAGGTATTAGAAGAGACTATCTCAACTTTAGGGAAGCTGATGTGCTCTGGAAATATAGTGGATGATTCACAAACAGGTCAAACTGAGAACAAAGATACTGATGTCAAAGTGCATGTAAAGATCAGAATAAACTTGTTTCATAAAATGCGAGAGTGGGAAAAGTATTTCTAAATTAGTATATTCTTTTATATAACACAGAATTTTCAATGTATGTCTATTATATGCCACATATACGAAATACAAGTAGATATCTGACTCTATCATCTATCTGGCAGATTGCTGGTTTCTGATCCAATATCTGTTCTCTTTGTCCTTAAGGAATCCAGTCTTATTTGGGACAGTAATGTGCTCAGCTCAAAGCCTGCCCTCCTAGTTCCTGTGGCAGAGGCCATGAAGTGTGAGCAGAAGTCTGCTGCAGACCTTGAGAAAGCTCTATAACTTGCTTCCCTGCACTTTACGTGGAAGAGTCCCCTCTGTATCCTTCATCCCTGGGGAGGATGCCCACATGGCATACCGAGCCCAGAGCTCTCTCTTGAGACTCAAAGCAAGATCTTACATTCAACAATCCAGGATACTGTCACTTGGATGCACTTCAAGTTTAGAATGCCTGAAACTAAACTCATTTTTCTTGTTTATTCTTTTGCATTTTCTGTGGCTTTAATGGCATCATCTACCACTCCGGTCAACCCAATCAGAAACTTGCTCACCCTACACGTCCCCCATCGGCCTTACCGTCAATATCCTATTAGTCCTTGAGTACTGCCTTTCTCCGAAGCATCTCTTCAGGCCATCCGGGAGCTGCTGTCGTAATTCAGAGGGTCCTCTACTGTCTACAGGACAAGTTTCCAGCCTGGTCTCACTGCCGCCAGACTCAGTCCTAACAATTTACCCTCCACACTTCTGCCAAGGTGACCGCAGTACTGTCAATGTTACTGGCTTCCGGAAAACCTGGCTTCCGGAAAAACCTCTCAGCAACTCCTCGTTAGCTGGATAAAGCCCAAACTCCTCTGCAGGGCACAAAAGGTCTAAAATACCCTCCCACCCACCTCATATTATCCCCCACGTTGTCCACCTAACAAACTCCTATCTTTCAGGGCCAATCTCAAGGAGCTTGTCTTGTAAACCCTCCTCTGAGCACGTCAGTCAAAAACCGGACAAAACAAGGATTGCTTTCTCTTTTGTGCCACCACAGTGGTTTGTATACATGGCCTGTTTCACCTGACTTCTCGCTCTGCAGCCCTAGCTTTGGATCCTTTCCCTCTCTTTCACTGTGTCTTGTTCTTCTGTACAGGCCTAGAGACTATGCAAATGCTTGCGGAGGAAATGATTCCTTCCTTCCTTCCACCTACTTAGTCTTTCACAAATGCAACTTTGGGAACATAATTTGTTTTTAAAATTGAAAGGGAAAATTTTAAATCTGGAATTCTAGTTTTAAACAATACCGTTTGTTCAGTTATGAGTGTTTGTAGTAGAAATGACATGGAAGTTTGTGTCAAAGGCCCCTGGGTCTTACCATTTGCTGGGTGTTCTTGCACAAATTATTTAACCATTTTGAGCCTCCATTTCCTAAGCTATAAAATGGGGGTCAAAACACCAAAATTACCATATTGTTGTAAAGGTTAGTGACAAATGTCTAAGAAGTACTGAAAGCTCAGTCTGGCACACACTATAGAAAACACTTTGGGGGGTGCCTGGGGGGCTTAGTCGGTGAAGTGTCTACCTTCAGCTCAGGTCAGGATCCCAGGGTCCTGGGATGGAGTCTGGTGCTGTGGGGCTCCCTGCTCAGCAGGGACTCTGCTTCTCCCTCTGCCTGCCACTCCCCTTGCTCATGCTTGCGCACTCTCCCTCCCTCTCAAATAAATAAAATCTTAAAGAGAAAAACACGTTGTAAAGTAGTATACAAACATTAATAACAATAACATTACTTATTATGAGTCAAGCATTTTGCTGAATATTATATTTCCTTTAATCTTTTTTTTTTTTTAAGATTTGATTTTTAAGTCATCTCTACACCCAGCATGGGGCTTGAACTCACAGCCCTGATAGCAAGAGTCGCACGTTCTACCGACTGAGCCAGCCAGGTGCCCCAGTTTCCTTTAATCTTAATAATCCATCAGATACCCAGCACTATCTTCATTTCAAAAATACTTCTTACACGCCAAGCACTGTGATCATTTTGCAGAACAGTAAACGGAAGCCGAGAAGGTGGTTAAGTGACGTGCCCAGCGTCACAGAGCTCAGTGGTGGTGGAATTTGAACAGACAGCTGGAGGCCAAATCAGGGGAGGATCCAGGTTTCATAGGACCCTAAGCTTATATAATTTTAGGAACTCTCAGAATACAAAGATGTCTATCTTAGAAAATGTTCAAAAACACATGACTATGGGAACATACAGCTAGATCCCTCAGAGTTCCTTAGAAGGGCCTCTGCAAGTAAGGAGCTTGGCCAGCAAGGAGTCCTGAGGATTCATTAGCTTCAAAGTGGATCCCCTGCTGGGCTGCAGTCTGAGCCATTAGGCTCTCTGGCCTCCAAATCAGTTACGTGAGTAAAAATTATGCTTTTATAAGTACACTTCTTTGAACTGAAATATGGGAATATAAACATGAAGATCTTGAAATTTAGAAAAAAATGGCCTGGTATGAAAATCTGTTGTGCTTTATGGATAAATCTTGAATCTGCTGAAGAATTCTGTTGAAAAACCCAAATTAATTTTATGCCCTCCTCCAGGAAATTTTTCCTGACACCAATGCCTCTCCATTAGGTGATGTTTCTGTGCCTAAGGCACCCTGTATCCTCCACTGTAGCAATTATTTTATTGTGTTGTAAAGAAATTTCTACATTTCTAGCTTCTCTGCCTTGCAAGCTGGGATCAGGTCTCTTCATCTTTTCAACATCCTCCATCAGGGAAATAGTAAGTACTCAACAAATATTTACTGAAGGGATTCTGTAACACTTTAACTCAGCACTCAAAATCCTGATTAGAAAAACCTCTATCAATTTGAAAGCCAACGCTGGTATGAATGGAAACTCTAACCATGATATTTCGAGAAACGTCATGTGGTAGTAATAGCATTGTGTTATACTACTATCATAATACTATCTTCAGGAATGGGAAAGACATCTAGCTAACTTACCCTCTACCAAGGGTTGAGAAGTGCCTATGACCCGCCCCCCAATTCTGTCCTTGCTGGAGCCTCACAAGAGGTTATACTTATTTGGAAAGAGGTTGCACTTGGGCAGGGTGGTCCTTCCTCCCGTGGCCCACGCTGCACAAAGAGCAGAGCTGCAGGGAGCAGCTGCCCCTGAGGGCAGCGGGCCGGAGGAGGACCGCCCCCACTGACAGCTGGATCCTGCACCTGCCGGACAAGCTGCTCCTGCTCGCTCTGCGGCCCTCACCCAGCCGTGGTGGACTGCAGGCCCCCTCCTCCCCGCGCGCACCCCTGTGCGGGAGACGACGTGCTGTCGGTGCCCTGCTGTGTGCGCACCCGCAGCCCCCCGCGCACCCCGCAGCTCCCGCAGCTCCCACATCCCCCGCAGCTCCCCGCGCACCCGCAGCCCCCCGCGCACCCGCAGCCGCCGCGCACCCCGCAGCCCCCGCAGCTCCCCGCGCACCCACAGCCCCCCGCGCACCCGCAGCCCCCGCGCACCCCGCAGCTCCCACAGCCCCCGCAGCTCCCCGCGCACCCGCAGCCCCCCGCGCACCCGCAGCCGCCGCGCACCCCGCAGCCCCCGCAGCTCCCCGCGCACCCACAGCCCCCCGCGCACCCGCAGCCCCCGCGCACCCCGCAGCTCCCACAGCCCCCGCAGCTCCCCGCGCACCCGCAGCCCCC